AATCTTGAATGCTAGTTTCATTTGTCGATATTTGTATTCTAAATTTCAATTTCAACCTCAGCTTGAGGTACATCTACTTCACCTCCATCCGTGTTAATAATATTTTTATTAGATTGTTCAAAATCAGCTTCATCATTTTCAGGTTGAGTGTGACTGAGTCTAGCTACCTTCACCTCAAACTGTGAAGTATTGTCTTTAATTTGCTCTTTAGAATTATCAATTTTATTTTTTAAACAAGACATTTCGGACTCATTAAATACTACATTTATGTTATTAATGATCTGAATACCTTGTACACCTATCACCCACAACCTGTACTCTTTCATCACTTCCGGGTACCCACGCATAACACAAACTGCATGGAGATCTAATTATAAGATAAACAGCTGTAGTCACAGCCTTGGCCCAAAAACCTTTAGCTAATCCAGAACTGATCAGCATACACCTAACCTTATTCATTAGAGTTCTATTCATTCTTTCAGCGACCCCGTTCTGTTGAGGTGTATGTTTAACAGTCATGTGTCTTACAATCTTTTTTTGTTTATAGAAGTTATCAAACTCGGTACTACAAAATTTCAAACCATTATCAGTTCTTAGAGTTTGTAACTTCTTATCAAGTTGATTTTCCACCATCGTCAACCAAGTTCTAAATTTTTGAAATGTCTCAGATTTGTTTCTCAATGGATAAGTCCATACCTTTTTTGAGTAGTCTTCAACTATGAAAATGAAGTACTTATTGGCTTCAAAGGTAGGGTGACTTTTCGAACTCTATAAATCTGAGTGGACATAATCTAGAGGCCTAGAGGTGGTATGTAACATAGTCTCAAAGCTCATCCTATGAGATTTTCCCAGCACACATGTTTCACAAAATTCAAGACGTTCAATCATATCTTTCCCAATTATGGTAGTAACGCTTCTCGATGGTAGATTTTTGTTTACTTAGATACTTTAAACCCTTATTTCCTATATGTCTCATTCTGTTATACCATAATTCAGATTTGTTTTCAATTATGGTCAAAGATTTTACA